GTAGTAGTTGTAGTAGTAAGTAGTAGTAGTAGTAGTAGTAGTAGTAGTAGTAGTAGTAGCAGTAGTGGGTGCCCCCTTACCAACTACACATCTTAAGAGGAGATCTGTTTTGCTCGGCACTTACAGCTCTGTCGTGATGTACGATCATCATAAGAAACCTACAAACCGCGAGTTTGCAAACTCGGCCTCTTGATTTGGGACTTGCTTCTGGGGGGGTGTGGGGGGGTCGGGGGTGATGACGACAGCATCACGCAAACACAACCAACAATGTCACCGCAAGAGCCGTTTTTCTCAGTGTTTACCGTGCTTTCGCATGTCGGACTTTCTTATATAGTCGCCACGCTACTTCTGGACTGTGCGTCTTAAACTTTGGTGTTTCGCACAGCTTGCAGAAAAAACTCGAATGTTGGTGGGGAAAGCTTTTTCCGGTGATGATCACGACACGATTTCGCGGACAGACACCCCGAACTATATCTCCACACCCTAGCGGGCACACAGTACACACTACTTCACGGAGGTTACAGACGTGCCCCCTCATAAGGGTTCTGGTAAAAGCTTTCAACGGCAAGCTTTTGTGCAACTTCAAGTATCCCGTGTTCGTTATGGCCTCACCCGCCCCGAAATGCAAACCCTTCGCTCTACGGCTTCCAGCCCAACCCCTGAGAACTCCAAGGTCGCAGACGAGCCTGGAGGCCTCCTCGCTGAACAGCGCCACCTCCTTAAGCTTTGGGGCTGATGTTAGGCTTCAGGTTTCAATGTTACAGAACAATTTTAAATGCCCAAGCCGCCGAGTTTCTGCACGAGGGCCGTGATACTCCTAAGCCCCACAACCTCCTCTTGACCCGGGGGTGAACAGCAGCCTAGTTGCATGCAAGCTCTACGCGCAGAGCCAAATCAGCACCAGTCTTGGGCCTACTATCCGAGGTGCCTCCTGCGAGAGCTGTGCATCCAGCGCCCGTGACGGACTCTCTGGAACCAGCGCCTGTGGCGTGGGCTGCTACGCAGGTCTCTGGGTTCAAGGAAGGCCTATGAACGTCTGGCAATGGTAAAGCCAGCACCGACGCAAGGAGGGTCCAGAGATCCTGAGGTCCTTAGCCAGTCCGGAACCATCAGTTCACAACTCAAAGCCTAATCCCTTAACCCTAAATGCAAACCCAAACCCCCAAAACTCAAACCTTTGGACCGCAGGCTTGAAGAAGACTCCAGTTCTGGGGCTTTTCCGTCCCACTTCTTCGAGCGACCCGAAGCTCCAGATTGTGCCCCAGTAAGCATGAGGACTGGGAAAAGGGATTCTGCGACTGTTGCATCAGATCCTCACATACTCAGGCTCCGAAAAGCCTTGCTATGAGGGACTAACAAGTTGCGAGCCAGCCAAACGACGTGTGCTCCTCTGTCTCGGGCGCAGAGCATTCGCGTCTCATCTCGTGCGCATTTTCGTTGAGGCCTTGATCCCGACATCAACCTCGAAGCCCAAACAGGTCTCACGCATCCCGAAGACGTCCGAACTCAACAGGACCTACAGGGGTACTCCTAAGGTCCTCTGGACGTTGCTCAGCAAGCCCTGAAAGTCAAAATGCAACACAACCATGCAGCAGATCGGATTCGTTTTTGCATCCGTAGACAGCGCCCGTTCTTTAAACAGGAGGGCTCTGACGGCTCTGTCAATGAGGCTCCGCAAGTTTTGCGCTTCACACGGCCCCTTGAACGGCCTTTAAATATGATAAACAAGGCCTTTGGGAATGACTTCGAGAGTACTGCGCCGGTAATATAGGCTCTTTATAATTAGAGCAGGGTTTTAGGGTAAAGTGTCGTTTCTTGTATAAGAAGGAGCCCTGAAGATTGATGTTGCCAGCTATTCAGGCCTCTTTATGGGAGTTTCCGAACATAAGGGGTACCTGCTTTTGGGGTCCTTATAATCAGGATCCTACTACCTACGGTGCTATATTAGGGTCCCTTATTTTTCGGAAACCCCCCTAAACCCTAAACCCTAAACTCTAACCCCCCCATATTCGAGACTCTGGGGCTGTCGGATGCTATCTGAGCTCTGGGTCTCCTGGGGGCTTCCCTTTGGGATTACCATTAGAGGGACAGGTTCACAGAATTAGAGGTGCCATGCTGATTGCAAGAGGTACCATCCAGGTTCATATAACTTGGGATAACAAGTCTAGGTGCTAGAAGAGGGCGGCGCGGCAGCGCTTTGCTCCCCTCGACATCTAAGGAGCGTCGCTGGCAAATCCTGTGTGGTGACGGCTCAGCCGGCCTAGACCACAACCGAGCTCTGGAACTCAATCGCGATCTCCTCTCCAGCATACGTAACTTGCCGATCACAGGTTTCTTGGAAAACGCCTACACCATGGCCAGGCGACACGACGACAGTGCAGATCCGTCTGGCTTGCGGCATGCCCGGGTAGGCGCCCTTCCTGCTCCAAATTCGGAGCGTCTGGGTGCCTAGGTACCAGGTTTTGGAAATCGGTCTTCAACCCTGAAGCCAATCACGCGACAACCGCTTCAGAGGCCTAATCCCGGTACTCCTCCTGCCCAAAACCCTAGTGCCTCATGCACCTGATCGACCACGAACGAACCATCCCCATGGACACCAATCGCTCCGTGGAATCCCGTTTATTTTGCACCCCCTCGAGGCCCCTTCTATGGGTTCATACAAACCCTATACACCATGCAAGCAGTTGAAGATGCTCACCCACAAGGGTGTTCAAGAGTTCCACCCCCGCAGGCTATAAAGCTAGGAACGGAGGGGAAAAGGGTTGAGGATTCGCTTCGAAGAGCTTGGTTGTTCAAGGATCGCTTAGAACCCCGAAACCTTCAAAGCAAATAACGGCGGAGTCTTGGAGCGACACAGCAACAGAAGAGTCGTTGGAGTCTTGGAAAGTGGGCGAACCAAGAATGAAAGATGCAAGTGTGGGAATGGGGTAATGCTTAGCAGCCGGGATGCTGTCTTGCCACGAAAAACCTATGGTCGAGTAGCTGCCCTCGCGGTATTTGGTAGACGAGCCGTCATCCTCAAATAAATCAAAGGTTGCATCTGCTCCGGGGTAGATGCGGACTTCCAGATCAGGGTTCGTGTCAGATGTAGACTGAATGCTGGGTCCAAGAACCAAAAGGGATCCCTTGAGGCAGAAGAAAGGAGCTTGCTGCAAAGTGAAGCTGGCATTCTGCATTCCTCCGTACGTCTCGCCGGTGTGGAAGTTAATCCAGCTGCCTTGCGGGAAGTAAATCTGTCTTGTAGTCGCCTTGCCGGAGGCTCCGGCGGAAACAATCGGAGTCACCAGCAGGGAGGGTCCAAACATGTAAGCATCCGCAATGCGCTGTACAGCCTCTTCAGGAAAGTCGAAGGCCAAAGCTCGCTGCATCGTGTAGGCCTCCGCTTCTACGCGCCAAAACCCAGAATAGACCTCGGTCTCCGGGGAAAGCGGGAGATCCGGCCACTACACATTTCATTTAAACCAGCTAGCGTCCCCGATTGAAAAATACCCCAACGCATGATCTGGAGAAAGTTGCATAGGGCAAGAGCCGGTATCTCAGAGTAATAGCAGACGTGTTGATGATGTCCATCGTGGTGTTCCCGAAATTCCAGATCTCCGTGTGAGTACCCGCTCCGTGGACTCGGAAGATCGGCGTGAAGACTCCGAATTGAAACCAGCGAATCAGAAGTCTGTGATAATCATCCTGCGCTGTGCTGGCATGCTTTGAAAGTTGCTTCTTGGATACACAAGGACTTTCAGCCAAGAGGCAGAAGTGTATTGATCTTTGGGTCGGAAGAAACCTGCCGGGAACAAGCGCAGAAGTTCAAGCGAGGAAAGCTGGAATTCTTTGTAGTTGCCATGTACCTGCAACCCGCAGCATCATCAAAACGTCACGATTCACTGATTCCAAATAAGGGATCCTAATTAAGTAGAGCCTCAACAATATAACCGAGCTCAGTGCTTTGGGATTCGGCTTTAAGTTTGATTCTCTTCTCTTCGCGATCCTGATGGCGCTGCAGACCGAATCTGTGTAGCAGCATGTCAATCGTTCACTTTCTATTGCCGCAGAGATTCCACCGATGTCCTGTGCCCAGTATGGTATGCCAGACATCCTGAGCAAACAACGCGGTAGTGAGGTAGTGTTTCGATTAGGTGGGCTTGCCGGACGCCCCTCGCTGCGTGGAAGCGAGGGTCCGTGCTGATTGCAAAATGATACTGGGGTCTGCTTCAGGATAACTGGCCTTCTTACCCTGATTACTGGTGTCTGTGGCTCAGAGACCAGCCACCAAACCTAACCGTGCCGGCAGAGATCCACGTGCCATCACAAGCCGAGACACGGGTAGTTGATGGAACTCGCCACCTGCCGACGAAGCATGTCCCAACTCGCTGTGGTGTCTCCAGTCCTTCGGAAGAAGCGGCTAAAACAGCCCCGGGTTCAGGTTTCAACCCTCAACCCAGTGTAGGGTGTGGTATCTCCAGTCCTTCGGAATTTAGCTGGAACAAACCTAACCCCTACCCCCAGTATGTTCCCAGATCCCTGTCTTCATGCCTGCGGCCACAACCCCAGATCTGTTAGCTTTCTGGGGGTTGATGACGGACAGTCTTAACATAGTCTAACATAACACAACATAGTATAAACCAGTCTAAACATAAGTTGAACCTTGTGATATACTACAGAAAAACTTCAAATAGCAAGGCTGATTTTGATACAAAAACTGAAAATGGCATTAACCCACATGTAGAACTTGGTAAAGGTTAAGGTTGTCATCAATGTTAAGTTCTCTGTGCCAGTATTGGTATAACTACCGCTATGATTATGAATACGAATAACAAGACTATTGGCGCTGCTTCGGATACTAATATTGGCATTATTACTAATGTCTGTATTAGCATCAATATCAGCATTGTTGTTCGCATTATATAATAATGCTCATACCAATAAAAGTCTTATCAACATAAAGATGAAGAGACAAGGCATACACACAATTCCGAGATAAAGACTCTGTTCAAATTCCAAGTATAAAGATAACGATAAACATAACATATGTATGGTTTGGACACAGATAGTAACTATTCAACTGTAAACACCAGTATACTCACAAACATGATAATACGTTTCAAGATAGTAGAACGCACTGAACAACGCGTAAATTTCGTCTTTCCACATCCCAGCCGCCAGAGGGCAGCTCCAGTCTTCTGCTGACCTGCAAAGGAACTCCTGCAGGGTTTGTACTGGGGCTTAAGATTGGGTTTATGGAGGGTTTAGAAAGCTTGATGAGCTTTTAAGCGGGTTTGGAAAGGGGTTGGTGGGACTTTGGAGGTTTATTGGCAGTGAGAATTAGAACAGGGTTTTGGGGTACAAGGGTTCTACATCAGGGTTACTTTCAGGGTTCCACAACATAGGGGCGTTCATAGGAAGAGCGGTGTTCCTTTAATTGTTCCTTTAAAGGCATACTTTCAGGATTAAAAATATATAGGGGCCTGAATGATTGATTGGAAAAGGTTCCTGTACAGGGGTCATTTAAACAGTTCTTCGCGGGTTTTAACAAGGATTCCAAAGGACAGGGGTTGGGGCTGTTTACAACGCTTTCTCGTGAACTAAGTCATTGAAACAGTTGGCAAGAAAACTAGAGACGGGCTTTAGGATCGTTTCGAGTCTTTACAAACACTTGAACCCCCCAGACTGAGACACATCAGGATTCTCTTTTACTTCCGAAGGTTGGCCTTTGGATGGTGCCTTGCTGTGAGGCAGTTTAAACGGGAGGAGGGAAGGCTTTTAGCCAGGCCCCTTGCGAAAGCGGTTTAGGGCTAACGGGCTGTCACGGTCCCGTCATGGTTCCGAAACGGGTGCATGCAATTTGATATGAGTTTCGGGGCAGGATATGTCGACGTTCGGTGGTAGGTGTGCTGCCCTGCCCTCGCTCCGAGACTACTTTGTGTTGGGGCTTTGGTAAGGCAAAACACTAAACACAACCACCCAAAAAAAAGCCTCCCTACAGCA